AAAACAACTTATCCTGCAGAACTGTTGTGAGGGTTGAAAATGATCAGGTACAGGAAAGGCCATATTTCACCAAAGGCTTTTCCCCTTTGCCCATTTGGAAATACAGTCCTGCTCTCAGGGGCAAACTCCTTCCTTCAAGGCCAGGCCTTGGCTTAGTCTTGCCTCACAGGATTGGCTAGACAAAGCTCAGACCCCCTGACTGACTGGGTTCTGGCCAACCAGGTCTCTGGCCTCTCCATTCTCCACCAGCAGGTTGCCTGGGGAGTGGCAGTGTTGTTGGAAGTGACTTAGCAATTTTCTAGCTTCTGCTACCTGGCTCCAGGACTCTCAGGATGAGACAACAGAATAACCCTTGCTCAGATGTCACCCTCCCTGCAGCTCACCGTGAAACATGAGTGCATGTGTGTCAAACATGTGCACAATGGGCACTGGAGCTGTGTCCAGGGTAGACGGCTGTGGCATTTCCTACGGACCATGCAGAAGGATGAGCAGGAGAGAGGACCAACCATGGAAACCAGATCCTTTTAAAAGAGATGCAGGGCTTTCCTTCATATATAAATCACTCTTCTGAAGTGTTTTAGGTGGGAGTCAAACATGTACCAGGAAGTGGAATTTCACTAAAAACTGGGGACGTGTGTAGAGAGAACAGGGGCTGAAGAATCTCATCTTACCCCAGCAATACTCTTTTTCCCCTGCTTTTTAAAAAGTCTGATTTATTGAGGTGAAATTTACATACAATAAATTCACCCTTTTTAGTGTACGGTTCTATGAGTTTTCACAAACACACAAATGGGGTACCCAGCACCACAATGAAGCGACAGAACAGTTCCAACACTCCCCCACGTGTCCTCCTCCCCCTTTGCAGTTACCTCTCTCCCAAACCCCTGCCCCTGGCAACCGCTGATCTGTTTTCTGTCCCTGGGGTTTTGCTTTTGTAAGAATGTCATATGAATGGATTCATTTAGTCTTTGGAGTCTGGCCTCCTTCATGCAGCCCTGGTGCGTTGGAGATTCATTCAAATTGTGGGGTGTGTTTGCAGTTCATTCTTTTTTGTTGCTGAGTAGTATTCTGCTGTACGGATGTAGCTCTGTTCATCTGTTCTCTGGTTGAGGATCATTTGTGTGGTTTCCAGTTTGGAGTGATTATGAATAAAACTGTAGGTTTTGGAAGATACCAGCAATTCTCTTTCATAGATTAAAACACAACTTACATTTAGTTTTTCTTATCCTGAGGCATATTGCAAATAATATATCTGCTGAGCAGCCTTGTTCAAAGAGTTTGGGGTGAGGATGTCACTGTTCCTGACAAAATATGGAGAGGGGTGTGTGTGTGGAGAGAGAGAGAGAGAGGATGAAAACTCAGGGCTTTTAAAGTGGAGTAAAGACAAATTTCTCACAGAGACTGCGAAATTGATCACTGTTTACTGCTGAGGCTGTGTCTTATACCATATGCTCTGAGCCCTCCACCTCATCCCTACCCTACCCCCGACCAGTGGCATGTGGGCTACTGGAACTGGGCATCTCCAGAGACTTGGGGTGGGGGGATTCTTCCCCTCACAGGGAAAGGACCCAGCCCCTGTGAGGAGGTGGTATGAGATGGGGGAGGGAGGATGGGATAAAGTTAGCAGAGACTCCTGGGGTGAGCTCTGCACCTCCATAATTGAAATCCTGCCAGCTCCCCTTTATCTAGGTGCTGATTATTCCATTTCACTGAGACCCTTTGCTTCTAGGTTTTTCTCCCTTTAGTTCCTTGCCCTTTGTCAATTTGCTGTTTATTAGCACCTCTGCTGAAAAGCGCCTGGGGCTGCGGAAGAAAGCAAACCAGCTAACCGTAAAAGTAGAGCACGCTTGTCTTTCAATCAAACACACAGATACACGGTGAATGCGGGGGAAAGTTGAAACCAGCCAAAAGAAATGGATTGCCAAGGATCTTCCAGTCTTCTTCACTCAGGTGGGAATACAGTAAATAGCTTTTTGACAGAAATAGGTAGGTCTAGCTACTGGAAGCTCCATGCCTCCCCTTTCCTCCTGCTGTTGCCAGAAACGTTACTCCCAAACAATTAATAAATACCTCCGGGCAACAATGGGTGTTAGAGAGAGAGCAGCTCGCTCTCTGTGGGCACCTGCTGCACCTGGGGTGTTGGCGTGTGAAGCGACGTTCGTGTCCATCACAGGGAAGCCCAGGTCCGTCGGGAGTGGATCTTCACCAGCGTGAAGGATCGCAAGGCCTCCAGCGCCGGCACCCCCGCCCCCCGCCCCCGCCCCCGCCCCCGCCAGCCGCTGTTTTCGCACTTGGGCTTCGCGCTTCCTTGACACTTTCCTGTCTCTCGCTCCGCCGCGCCAGGTCGCGGCGCCTGCCTGGGCGTCTTCTCCAACTCCGGGTCACCTCGGGCTCTGTGGCCAGGGGAAGGGTGCCGGGCCAGCGGGGGAGGGGGCGGCCTGTGCGGAAACGGCCTGACCTGGCGCTGGGAACACCATGTCTCTGGTGGCCCCACAAGTCCCCCGATATGCGCGTTGGGGCATGGCGACTGGCAGCGCTCCAGCCGCTGGTGTCCCCATCACCACCACTGCCCTCCCCAGGAGCGGGGCGGGGGTCGGAGGGAGCCCTAGACTCCGGATTGACCTCGTCGCTGTCTGGTCCCCTCTCCCCCATCCAGTCCCGGCCCTTTCGTTCCCATTTCTCTCCCTTGCTTTCTCCTCTCTCTAGGGGTCTCGATCTGTATTTCTGTCGCCAGGTCTCTTGACTCCTGTGTCGCCCTCTTTCTCTGGGTCTGTTTCTCTTTCCTGTCTTCCCTCCTCTCTCCTTTCCTCTCTGCTCTCTCTGCCTGTCCATTCCCTGCTCTGTTTTTTCCATAATACTTCACCATGTAACACTCCCTATATTTGACTTATTTATTGCACATCTTCTTCTTATAGAAAGTAAGCTCCCAGAGACAGAATTTTTCAGTATTTTGTTTCATGCTGAGTCCCAGCACCCCGAAATATCCTCGCACAGAGAAGGTGCTCATTAAATGTGGAATGAATAAGTGAATGAAAGAATGAATGAATCTCATGAATCTCGTCCCTCTCCGGCTTCCTCAGGCCCTCTCACTCACCATTGCCCCTGTCTTTTCTCTCTCCTCTGTATCTCACCTGTTTCTCTTGTTACTGTCTCTCTCCATCCCCTCTCATTTCTTCTCCATCCTAGTGTCTGACTGTGTTCCTCCGTCTTTCCAGGATTTATGGATATGGGCCTTGCGTGCCATGGGAGATGGGCACCTGGGTCCTTTGTCAGGAGGAGGCCAGTCGCTGTAGCCTCAGCGCCTAACTGAGTTCCCTACCTGAACTCCACTCCCCAAATCCTGACAATGCACCCAGAAATCCCTTCTTCCTGCAGACCCCAGGGACTCTGAGGGTCCCTTAGGGGCAGATTAGATTTGGGCAGGAGCTTTGTCGGCTCCCTGGTGACCCAGACTGCGCCACTCTCTGTGTCTGACTTGCATCCTATTGTGAGAAATGGTGGCGACTTTGGACACTGACTGTGTGCCAGTGTTCCATTCTCCAACTCCCAGCAACTCTGAGAGATGCTGTTAGCAATCCCTCTTGTAATTTTAGTCATTCAACAAACACTAATTGGGCATCTACCATGTGCCAGCTGTGGTCCCTACCCTCCTAGAGCTTACCCTCTGGGGTGTGTGTGGGGAGGGGGCATGTGTAACCAACCACAGACAAATGGACTTATAACTCCAGGAACATAAAGCCCATGAATAAAGCAAATTAATATTTTATATATCCCCCAAATATTTATCATTCTCTTGCTCTGCTCTGGGTACCGCCAGGGCTGCAACTTTAAAAGTCCCTGACAGGGGAGGAGGGAGAGAGGACCCACAACTGAAAGAGTTGGGGCCCACCCAGAGGTGACAGCTTCAAGAGAAGCGTCCTGGGGGACAGTTCAGAGTCTGCAGGCCCGGAGCCGGTGTCGCACAGTCTGGGCAGTGGGTGCTGGAAGCTCCCGCTTGCTGCTATGTTCTTGAGGTCCTTGGATGAGGAAGGGGACAGGGATCCAGGCTAGGACGGGGAAGAGGGGCAGCACAGCGGCGTCAGGGTGGCCGCAGCAGCCGGCGCTGGGCGCTCGCCGACCCGCTGGCGGCAGTGCCCGGACTTGCGGGCGCCGGGCTGGGTTTCAGTTCTGGCTCGGCCTCCCCGGGACCTGTGGAGCGCCCTCCCGGTTCTGCAAGCCTCTGGCATCCTTCCCGAACTTAATGAAAGTGTGCAGACTCCTTTTCACTTTTCTTTCCCTTCCCACGGGCTCTTACAGGATGGGACGCGAACTGTTTTATTTTAAATTGATTTTAATTTTTAAATGTCAGGCGTACTCATTAAAGGGAATTTAGAAATATCTGAAAAGCAAAACGAGAGTTTAAAAAAGTGTTTCATTATAGAAACTCGATATTAAATAGAATGGAAAAAAGAACTAAGTCTCAGGAATCTAGATACGAGACCTGTTGCCGAGCGCAACACCGAGCGTCTTCACCTCTCTGGGTCTCCGGTGCTCCCCTTTGTATGAGGGCGGTAACGTCTTCTCTCCCTCCCTCGAGAGCGGCGATGTTGTTGTTTCCTCGAGAAAAAATGGAATTCGAGGGTGTTCTGTAATCTGGAAATGACCATAAAATATGAGGGAGTCTGCCAAAAACTGTGGTGCCTGGGGCCGGAAGCACCAGCGAGAGCTTGCAGAGGTCTGTGAGCGAGAGCGTGGTTTTGCTTTGCAACACCGAACAGTTTTTAAAAGCAATTCAATCAAAAAGCGTTGCTGCCTTCTCTCCGAAGACGTGCCAGCAGGAGGCTGGTGACTGCTTCCTGGGGTCCAGAGCTCGGTTCCCAGTGGGAGGGGCAGGGGTCTCTATGTCCCCCCCCCCCCCCCGCCCCCATAAAGAATTCTCAGTGTCCAAGGTACCAGCATCAAGGAGGGGAAGATGGTTTACTTAGCCTTGCAGCTGAATTCGTTCTCCGTTTTTCCATCAGCAGGACCTGCCCTGCTCCACCCTGTTTCTCCGAGCTCCATCCGCGGGGGTCTGCGCAGGGGCAGTGCGGGCCACGAGAGCGAGGACCGAGTGTCGCAGAGGGAGGAGGAATCGTGCCCCAGGCCCAGCGCGGGAGGGAATTCGAGGGCTGTGTGCGCCAGGAGCCGGCTTACGTTCGGCGCGGGTCACTTTGCATGTCTATTCTGGAGCCCTTGAGCGCGAGTCCGCAGATAAGCGTCTACAGCACTGAGGAATTCGTTACACAGGACCAGGGGAGACTTCTGTAGTCCCTTGTCTGGTTCTCTCTCTCTGGGGGCTTCTTGTTCTCGATTATAAGACTTTGGGGGTCCCGTGTTTTTTCAGAGGTCGTTGGTTTGGGGGCATAGCCGGCGGCCGCGGAGGCTGATTTCCACAGCGTGTCCAGCCGCTCATCAGCTGGAAATTGAGGTCGTGGCGCCCGGCATTGCGCTGCGCTTAAAGCCACCCGCTCGGGTCCCGCTAGGAAATCAGGGGAACCCCGCGCAGGGAGACCCTCGCTAGTGTCACTGTGAGCTACATCGTCCACTGTTTATTAACTATTTTTTCGGGGAACTAGAGTTCGGATTCCTCTGTGCATCACGTCCAGCCTACAACTGCGTCTCTATTAGGGTACGGACCGGCTCAAGTCCCAGAGGCCCTAATGGAGCAAGGAAATGCAACTTATTCTTGTATCCTGGAGAGATTTTTTTTTTAAACGTACAGTACATCTAAATAATTCCTACTTGTCTAAAACCTCACGACTTGACTCTTCATTAGACCCAGGCCCTTAGTAAAAAGAGGTCAAAGACTTTCACAGTATTAAATTTTCCCTGTAGACGATGGGAAAGAAAAGCGGAAAAAGGACGTGAGTGGGGTTGGGCTACCATCCCAGGCCAGCCCAGGGACATCTTAAAAATAGCCAAGAGTCCGAACCTCAAATCACCCCCCACCCCTTCCCAGAGGCCTCCTGAGCGAGGGAGAATCCTGGGAACCAAGCGGCAGCCGATAAACCTCCTCCAGCCGGCGGGCCAGCGAGGCCTTGAAATGCCCCCGGCTCCTGGCAACGCAGGCGGCCCAGGCGGCTCCTGTCTTGCCCAAGGGAGGGAGGGGGCGAGCGAAGGAAGGAGGGAACGAGGGAAAATGAAATACCCCAAAAGAGCAGGATGCTCGCCAACCACCCTCTGGACCGTCCTTGAGCTGAGCCCTTTGGGGAGAAAGTTGGGGCCCTGGGCCCAGTGAAAAAAGCCACAGGAACAGACAAATTTCTCGGTCCCAGGAGCCTTTCTAGAAGCAACGAATCTATCACGGGCTCCCAGGCTTCAGCCCACCAAGAGAGCACCAGCGAAGGGCGTGGGTAGAGGGGGTCTGTCAGGGGCCTGGCCAGGAGCGGCCTGCCTGTGAATCCGGGGTTCCTCGCAAGCAACCGCTTAGAAAAAGCTGGCTTTTCCATCAAAGGTCTCAGAACAGCCACAGAGAGCAGGGCCTGTTATTGCCCCCATCACTGTACCGAAGAGGAGACCGAAGTTCCAGGAGGCTGGCGGAGGGAGGGGGGTGGAGTGGGGCGAGGCTCGCCGTAGGGCGCCCAGCTAATGCGAACCTTAGCACACACGCGCTGGCACCGTGGCCCACCCCGCACTGCTGAGAGAAGCCCGCGAGGGAGCGGCTTGTGTCCTTGACTTTGGTAAGGACGCTCAGATGGTCTCTCCACCAGAGGCTAAGCCCCAAGCTCCTGGCTTGTTGCTAAGAAAATCCACTGCCCAGTCACCAGGCTCAGCCCTTTTCGCTCTCTGAGTGTCGCGCGCGGGAGGCAGCTATGAGACCTCGGGCATCGCTTGAGCCACAAATCGCTATGGAGAAGAGAGAGGCCGGGGCAGCTTCCGGCTCGTCCAGGTCCAGACTTTCAACTCTCCAAAAGGCCCTGGTAGGCCCCTGACGCAGGCTGTTGGCTTCATGCCTCTCTCACTGCACCCCAACGGGGATGAGGACCCGTTTCAAACAGCACAGGGGTGGCGTACCCGTCTCCTCGGCTGCGTCTGAAAGTGCACCGGTCGGAGCGGCCTCGCTAAACCGCCTTTCCCCAGCTCCAGCCTCCAGAATCCCCAGGACCCACTCCGTCTTAAGTTCCCAGCCGCGCGACCTGCAGCCCCAAATTCTGCAGAGGCGCTGGCGAGGAGTTGGGGGAAGCTGGAGAAGGGACCCTAAGCAAGCCGCCCTCAGCTTCCGTGGCGCAAAGGGGCCCCGGCGAGCAGCAGCCTGGAAGGCGGCGTCGGTGCGCTCAGCCGGGCGCAGACCTTCCGCCGCTCGGCGGGGCGCCTCAGTCTTCTCTCCTCTGGGGGGCCCCTCTGGACCTCCGCACCTTTAGCTCGGGAAAGAGAATTCCCGGCGCAGCCGCGCTCAGTCCTTCCTCTGGGATTTTCCTGAGAATCCCCACGAGTTGGCCGCGATCCCTTTGGGGGGTTTCCTTCCAATCAGCCCTGAGTCCTAGCCTCATCCTCAGCGCCCGGGTTGCCCTCGCGCAGGCCGAGAATCCACAACAGATTACCAACTGCGGAAGCAGGTGTTGCCCTTCCTTTGGAGGAGCACAGGTTTCGGACAGGGTGGTATCCCGGCCCCTTCTCGACCCTTCTAATCTGGTATGAGAAACCTGCGCTAGGGAGAGAGCAGCCTTAGGGGAAAAAAAGTTTAACCGAAAGCGTGAGAGCCACCGGCCGGCTGTTATCTGGAGCTGAAGGCTGCGGTAATCGATGGGTTATTTTTACGCGGTAATAGGGCCCTGTGATTGCTCTATTAACCTTTAGACCTGTCTGAGGGACTCTCCGGCTCGCAGCCCCGCTGAGCTGGGGCCTCTAGCCACTGACGCCGAGTCCAAACCCAGGCCTGCCACCCTCCCCGCCCCCTCTTTAGGGAGGGGGCTGAGGCCGCAGGAAGAGCCTTCTCGGCCGGTGGGGAAGCTCCGCGGGACTGCCGAGCTCCCCAAGCCCCAGCCACGACCCTTGGATTGGTGGAGCGGCTCTGCAGGCTGCAGAGAAAACGGAAAGATCTGAAGGGAGGAGGCCGCAGGAGATGGAAAGCTCCGCCAGGAAGGGGTGCACGTTTTGCATAAACACGTAAAATTGAGGGCTGGAGCCGGCGCCTTGCGGACTCCCGGGGTTGCTGGGAAGACGAAAGGAAGGCTTCGGTCTCTGCGTTCAGATTTGAGGGAGGCAGTCCCAGTGGTGTCTTCCACCTACCCGGAGTCTGCGGCTAGGAGGTTCCCCACTAGCCGCTACCGCCCAAAGACCTGCAGCCAGCAGGCACCCCTGGTGACCCAGTGCCCCAAACTCGATCAGGGGTCTCGCCCAAGAGGTCACCTTCCCCTGTTAGGCCCGCCCCTCTCCCAACGAGTCCGGGGTCTCAGCAGGACCCGGAACACCAGGAGGCGGGGGCAGGAGGAAGGAGGTGGGAGGTGGGAGAGAGGGGCCTCATTAAAAAGCAGACCCTGGGCAAAATTGCAAACCGAATCGACCTCAGGCACGGCGGTGGGTGAGGCCCGGCGCGAGGGCGATAGCACTTTTGGCGTTTTCCGAGGCGATTCCTGCGCTTGGACTTTGCCTGCTGGGGGAGTTTTTCGAACAGCCCCGCAGCCCAGCGCCCAGCGGAGGTGCAGCAGCTGCGGCGCACCCCCGCCCCCCGCCCTTGCACGTGACTCCCACCGGCCAGTCAGCGCCGGCGAGCAAGAGCACAGGGACGAAGGGACCCGCGCTGCGAGCTGGGGGACTTGGAGGCGGCCGGCACAGTGGCCGCGAGAGGTTCTGCCGCCGCCGAAGCTCCCGGGGCGCCCAGGGGAGCGCGCGCCGGCCCTCCAGGAAGCTCCAGCCCCGGCAGGTACGGCTTTTTTTCTCTCCTTTCCTTGCTTTTTCCCGCCCCTCGCGAAACCCAGAGCTCCTCCGTGCTTGTTTGCTTGGGAGTAGAATGGTAACCGGTAGGTGGAATGGAGACCTTGGTCACTCCCCCTCCCCAAAATTGGCCAAAGCTGGCTCTACTTTTAACTTTAGCTTAGCACCTTCTTTAAATCAAAGTGAGATTTGGGGGGAAAGCAGAGAGGGATATTTGAAGTGCTTTTGGCTTCTGAATTTTGCGTGAACTTGAATGTTTTTAATACCCTCTTACCCCCGTGTGCAGATTCTCCAGCCCTTGTTTGCACTTCGCAAGCCAGGGCCTGGGTGGTGGTGATGGCCGTGCGAAATCGCCCTGGCCAACTGACCCGGGACAGGCCGCACAGCAGCTCGAGCACTGAGCGGCTCAGACGGGGGAATGTCTCCCGTCGGCGACTCCGGGGACGCAGAGTGGCGGTGGGAGGCAGCGCAATTGGGCCTCGGGCCCCAGGGAGGCGCTCCGAAGTCGGGAACGGCTGCTGAGCGCCCGGACTTTTTATGCCCTTCTGGCCAGCCTCCTCTCCTTCCTGACTGGGATCCAGGGAGCTAAACGCCCCTCACGGAGGTGCACCCGCCCTCGCTGCTTCTGGGGGAAAGTAGCTAGGGGCCGGAACCACGGCGGAGAGCAGTGACGTGCCGCCACGGGCCACGGTTAGCTGCCCGGGTCCACGATATTATGGCGCTTGGCTTTGGGCTGGGGGATCACCCAGGGGAGAGGAGGATGCCCAGGTGGTGAACTGCCACCAGGTTGAGGGAATGAGGGGTTTTTCGGTTGGGGGAGGAGGGTGGTGAGGGACCCGTGGCCGGTGGGAGTTGGGGCAGCGCGGCTGGGGCTGCCAGGAAGGTTGGGGAAGCATTTCCTGTGTTTCTCTGAAAAGGAACGGGCAGTCAAGAGCAGGTTTCAGGCTTCTAAAGAGAGAAAGGTTTCACTGAGGTGACGGGGTGATGTCTCCCACACTTCTGAGTCTCCTGGTCCCCGGCAGCGGCCAGCTCCATTGTCACCAGCTAGTGTATGATAGGTTTCTGCGCAGCAGGCCGAGAGCGGAGGCGCGAGCTGAGCCCAAGGGCCGGAGTGACCTGTAAATGGCCTCGAACGTTAGGGTGCTCTCGGTCCTCCGCTCTCAGAAAAAAGATCGGAAACAGGCTGTGGGCTAAATCACGAAGGGAGAAAGCATCTCCTGTCTGGCCTGTGAATTTAGGGTGAACTGGGATGAGTGATCAAGAGGCCAGGCAAAACGGGGGTGCAGGCCTGGGCCCCCTGGCGAGGCCACACCTCTTGGGCCATTCTCGCTGCCCTCGGACGCCTGCACCGAGGCTCGATTACAGAAACAAGCAAGAGTCACTTTAAGAGAATAGTTAATTTCTTGTCTTCCCAGAATGGTGCAGAGGGGTATTTTCTCCACCTTCTATTGTTCAGTAATCCAACTCTGAGGTAATGTATCAGCCATTTAAAAGGCAGAGAATGTAATAAAGACAAATGTTTGGTTTATGGCATTGTTAGAGTTTTACATTTTAAAGCTTGTAAATTAGCATCTGTATGTATACTGGAAGTTGTATTTCAAAATTATAAATCTTCCTTTCCTGCAATTATGTGAGAAAAAAAACATGACATTATGTTTTAGAACTGCAGAAGTTGAGTATTACAGATTTAAAAATTAAATACTGAATATTTTATTAAGGTAAGCCTATGTATTTACTTATCGAAGCCCAGAGATTCCTATAAGGTATTAATATTTTGCCTTCACTTTCAAAGGGGAAGTTAGTGATACCAGGTCAAATTTTTCGTACCCACCCTTTAACCAAACTTCTTACTGGACGGAAATGTCCACCAAACCGATAATTTATTGTGTAGTTTTGAAAGTAAATAGTAAACCAGTTAGGAGTTAACATGTGACTGTATAATATATTGCTATTCCATTATTATTACTAGTGATGTTGCAAAAATGGTTAAAAGCATTAAATAGTGTGTATTAGTCCATTTCCAGAATTTTTTACAATAATAAAGATGACCATTTATTATAGTACATATTACATCTGAGGAACTTTCTTAGAAATCTGTAATAATAATAGCCAAGAATTATGTAGAACTTTCCTTGTGCCTGTTGTACCAGTTTTATAAGACCTTGTTATAAGTGCATTACATATATTAATTTATAATCCTCACAATGATTCTATAGAAGAGATACCTTTAATATTTGCATTTTTGCAAGTGAGGGAACTGAGGCACAGAGAGGGTAAGTATTGTGTCTAAAGTCATTCATTGACTAAGTGGCGGAGCCTGGATTTAGTATGTAGTTCAGTTAGTACTCTTCTAAGTCTACTACTGCAACGAAAAATAAACCACTATTAGGAGGAGCTGCTGCTGCTTAAGGAGAAAAGTGGGAGTGTGGTGGACAGCCTCAAACCCCTAGAGCTCTATGCATCCCGTCCCCCCACCCCCATTAATTGCCCTTATCTAAGTTTCAGAACTTTCCAGTGCTTCAGTTCCCTCTTGTAAAAATGAGAAGAGACCCGTTTCCTTAGTGGAGTTGTGGAGAAGAGGATCTGGAACAGAGCAGGTGCTTGTGCTGCACTTATTTTATCAGAAAAATTGCCTGATAAAATCAAAACAGGATGCAAGGATATAATCAAGTCCTGCAAATGGGTCTTTCCCCGAACAGCCTCACTGGTGTCAATTCCATACCTGGATGGACCACTGATTCTAAATGACAAACCCATTCCATGAGTTGGAATGGTCCAGCAGTAGTTCTGCAAAGTGACCTTGTACATTCCTCCCACTTTTCCAGTCTTAATATCCAATCTGCAAAATCTCTAAAATATAACTATTTACAAGAAACGTATATCTCGTCTGATTGGACATCCCCATGGTATAGTGTATGGTTAAGAGATACCACAATTCTTTTCACTGAGATTTAGCAGACCATGCTCATTTATAAACATTTAAAGTCTACCTCTAGTTTAAAAAAAAAAAAGACTACAAACAGAAATGTAAAGGTGCTGGTTTTTGTAAAGTTTGTCGTCGTCTTCCATGGGCAATCTAAAGTTCTTTCATGGAAGGAACCGTTGGGGATGGGTGAGGGAACAGATGAGATGAGCAAGATTTCTTGAGTCCCAGGCACTCCGTGGAAACGCGAAACCCATGGACTTGGGAAATACCGTGACAAGAATATCCTTGAAAAATAAGGCAAAATTAAAGTGCTTCCTGACAAGCAATACAAAAAATTGACCTAGATCACAACCAATAATTACATGTCCAATAACCGGGAGCCCCATGTCTCTGTGCGCCCGTCTGCGAGGCTTCCCGCCGCCAGCCAGACCCCACGGCCCCCGCAAAACAAAGAGCGCAGCTTCCCGTGGAGCCGCTTGGCCTCCGAGGCCGGGCCCCGGGAGTGGCGATTTCCTTTGCAGTTCGGGAGAAACCGAGCGTAGGGAAAGCGGGCTCTGAAAGCTCGGGATGAACCTCTCTCCCGTTTTGTCGTTCCTCCTTTAGGACCGCGGCTGCAGCGAGGAGGAAAGGAGCCGGCCCGGCCCTGGGCACTGGAGCCAGCGCGCCGCCCCCTGCGCCCGAGGCCGCGCGGGGCCTGAAGACGGCGCGCACCGGTCGCCCCGGCGGGACCCACGGGCACCACGCGCGTCCGCTGCCACTCGTGCGCGCTCGGGACCTCCGGGCCCTGGGGTGGACACGGCCCCTCCGCCACCACCTCTGGGAACAACCGAAAATTCAGACTGGGATTTTCCTGAGTACACAAGAGCCTAGAGTCTTTGCTCAATGCTGGATTTCATGCGTATATATTTTCAAGGGATTTGTTTTTCTACCTTTGGTTTTTGATCTTCGTTTTTTGTGACAGCCCCTCAGCTGTACATTATTATTGTTGTTGTTGTTGTTATTTTCTCTTCCCGCTTTGCTCCTTGCCCCGCAAGTGAGCGAGAGGACTCGGAAGCTGAGAGCTCGCAGGGGCGATGTACCAGAGCCTGGCCATGGCCGCCAACCACGGCCCCCCGCCCGGGGCCTACGAGGCGGGCGGCGCGGGCGCCTTCATGCACGGCGCGGGCGCGGCCTCCTCGCCGGTCTACGTGCCCACGCCGCGGGTGCCCTCCTCGGTGCTGGGCCTCTCCTACCTCCAGGGCGGAGGCGGGGCCGCCGCGTCCGGAGCCGCCTCGGGCGGCAGCTCGGGTGCGGCCCCGTCGGGTGCCGGGCCCGGGACCCAGCAGGGCAGCCCGGGCTGGAGCCAGGCGGGAGCCGAGGGAGCCGCCTACACCCCGCCGCCCGTGTCGCCGCGCTTCTCCTTCCCGGGAACCACCGGGTCCCTGGCAGCTGCCGCCGCCGCCGCCGCGGCCCGGGAAGCCGCGGCCTACAGCAGTGGCGGCGGGGCAGCGGGCACGGGCCTTGCCGGCCGCGAGCAGTACGGGCGGGCCGGCTTCGCGGGCTCCTACTCCAGCCCCTACCCGGCCTACATGGCCGACGTGGGCGCGTCCTGGGCCGCGGCCGCCGCCGCCTCCGCCGGTCCCTTCGACAGCCCGGTCCTCCACAGCCTGCCCGGCCGGGCCAACCCCGCCGCCCGACACCCCAATCTCGGTGAGTACTGAGCGCGAGGACCGGGGCCGGCTGGGGACTGGAACAGAGGCTGTCCGAAGACCTGTTTGGGGCATTTAATTTTTCACAAGTATGTGTGCGGGGGTGGGGGGGCGGGGAGCGGGATATGCGTGAGTTTCCGACGAAGGGAAACTGGTAGACAGAAGCTGGTGGCTCTGGGTGATGGTGGCGGTGAAGGTCACAGCCCCACGGAGGCCAGATTCGGTTAAATGAGCTGGGACCTGCCCTCTAGATCCTTTTCTGAAAGAGAGAGAAGACTGCAGGGTGTCTGTCTGAGTGCGTTCTCCGCGCGGCCCGACACCGGGTGTGCCCGGCCCGCCGTGCGCCCGGCCGGGCCCATCTGGAGGTGACTGCGGGGTCCGACGGGCTCACTGGGGAGCCGGAGCAGCAGCCCCGGGTGCCCTGGGCGGAGAGCGCTGGCGGTCTCTGGGTTTCTGCTCCCATTTCCTCCCGGCCCTCCCTGAGAGCCCTCCGCAGGGCACTGATTACTTTGGCTTGGACCCAAGGTCTGGGCCATTTGGTGGCCCAGTTGGAGGATCCCGGGGTGGGGGTGGGGGGGGGGTGTCAGATGATTTTTCTGCCTGGGATTTCACACCGGGAACAAAGGAGGATCCGATGGGTTGAACTGGGGCCGGCACCTCGTGGGTGGCTGGGGCCAGAGCGTGTGGTGCAGTGGTGCTGGTCTGCCGGGGCAGATGTGCCCAGGGGTGCGTTGCAAGCGCGCGCCCGTCGGTGTCCGGGAACACAGGAAGCCCAGAGGGGCTTCTTTATAATGCCTGACTTGATGGAGCCTTTCTGTAGCATCCACGTGTTGTCTCCTCTTGTCCCGAGGGCTGGGGTTAGAAATAACAATCATGATGGGCACAATTTAGTGTTTCCTCTGAATGTCAGACCTGGAGAGGACCGCAAACGTGTGCCGCCGTCGCCCGATTTACAGACGAACAAAGTGAAGTATGAAAAAGAGCCTCGGCGCTCTGGGCTCCGAGAGAAAGGGAAACAGCCACTATTAGTTCAAAATGCAAACGACCTCTGGTCTTGTGGAATTTCGTGAAGGGACGGGATCGAGTGAGGATGGAGATGACTTTTGTAGGGGAGGGGAAGTCCAGACTTGAGAAACAAAGTTAACATTTATTGACTACCTACTAAGTGCTAAATCCTTTCGCATTTGTTCTCACTTTGAAGAGTAGAGCCCATCCCTCTCAGGTTTCCAGTCTTGGGCTGGTTTCCAGAAGGGTCCGGGCTTTGAAGAGCTTTTAAATTATCCTCTGACCCTGGGTGGCCAGGGGAGGTCCCCAGGGGGTTCGGGCCAAATACACATCCCAGGTAAACTGATTAACCGTGGAAGTGGCGCCGGGCTGGGTCTGTGGCTCGTAGTTTCCCTCTGCCCGTCACGGGGGAGCCAGACGGCACCCCCCAGGGCAGGAGGGGCAACCGGCTCTGGAGCCTGTGGGAGGACCTGCGCGAGATAGCGCGCGTGCTGCATCTCCATACAATGACTGCTCGAGGGGGCGTGTTGGGTGGGGGGGTCGCTTTGGCCTCGCATTCTTAGAACTCCCTTGAGTTCTCTCTAGAACTTCTGATTTAAAATAGGGAGGAATGGTCCCCATAGTTCCACTCCTTTTCACTTGGGGGTGGAGAGGTTGTTTCGTAACCCCTGCAATTCTGGAGTTGAGAATTCGATGTTTGGTTAGGGGAAAAAAGAGAAGTTCAAAATTCAAAGATGGAGGATACCTTTTGGTCATCAGAGTTACAGTTACAACTAGGTAAAAAAAAAAAAAAGATACTGTGCGAGTGCACACCGTGAGTGTTTAGATTCTCAAATGTAACTCATACCACGGCAGGATGGCGCTGAAGTAATGTTTTGCAAATTCCAGTGTCAGCAAAAGGCAAGCTGACCTCCAAGGGGCACCTCTTTGCCAAGAATTGTGGCCTTTCAGGCACTCTGAGCTGTCTCCCACCAGTTGGGGAAGACCCACCTGAAGACAGCGTTTGGACCTGGCCCAGCAGTTGGACTTGCTCTTCTGCATGTAGTCAAGTGTTTTAAATGGTCAAGTCATGATAGGGTCCGTGTTATCTTTGTGAGGGAACATGAGACGTTGAATTTATTGGCATTCTCATCATCAGCATGTTCTCAGGTGGCACTGACATACAGGAAGTTAAAAGCAGTGCATGTCAATATGCCTTTATGTGTTCCTCCCATCACGTGAACCCTCCTGTAAGTGCCTGGTAGCTTTATGGAGGACCAGCACCGGCATATTAGCCGCCGCTAAGTGATAGAAGGATGCTGTAAATGATTTCTGATTCTATGATATTTATCAAGAGCTTGCTAAGGGGAGTTGCCACCGGGCCCTAAGGTGACTCAGCCAGCCTAGATTCAATTCCAGGTGCCTCTGTGATCTTGGGCAAGTTCTTTACCTCTCTCGGTCTCCTCTCTTTTTCTGTAAAACGGGGTATCGTAACTACTTTTAGTTCTGTCTTAAATTATAAGAATAAGGTAATGTATGTGAAGTACTTGGCTTTGACCTCTCATAAGTGATGGCTATTTTATTAAACAGTCACTGTCATGTAAACAGTTTTTTTGATTTGCTCAGGACTGAGGGGTTTTCCAGGCTTTAGGATTTTTACTGCTAAACCTAGGACAGTTCCCCCCAAAATAGGGACGTTTGGTCACCCTAAACAGACGTGAAAATGGGTAAATGACCCAGCAGCATGCTACAGTGATGAACTGAGACAAAAGGAAGAAGACAGAGATGGGTCTTCCTCTGTCTGAGAAGCGGGAAGCTTTCTCCTAATTGGTGCCATCTGCATTTGGTCCTGAAGGGTGAGTAGGAGTTTGCCAGGAAAAGTAGCTGCAATTTTTAAAAAAAGAAAAAGTTACGCCCTCGTTTACTATCACACTGTGTAGTTCTATGAAATAGTATCACACAGCTTGGCTTTTGTTTAAATAATATTTTTATCACCATAGGTAAAACCACACAGACTAACTCACTCTTCACTCAGAAACTGTTTTTACTTTCAACGAGGAGAAATAAGAGAACGCCTTTATTTTTCTATGAAGTATTAACTGCCTTAGTCTTAACGGTAGTTAAAATCTTGCCAGAGTTCTTATGTTGGTTATTGGAATAAGGCAAAAAATCAAAGTAATAAAATTTACTAACAGGGGCCTCTGGAAAGCCTTGTACTTAGGTTGGAAGGGGTTATTCTGCCTTGACTGCAATATATATGAACTTTAATTCATTCCGAGTTCAATATGAGTCACGACCCTGAAACAACTGTTGTAATTGTTAATTAGGCTGCATTAATGGAATTAATGTGACCTTACTGAGGGCAGGTAAAGACTCTTACTGACATATACGTGCCTGGCCCATGCTGGGCACTCAGCAAACATTTGGGTGGAGATCTGGGAGGCAGTTGCTGCCATCCTCTGCCCAGGTCAAACCACACACCATGCCTGCTTCCGAGGCCAGTTGAGAGCCTCGGGCAACAGTGAGCAGAGAGGCAGAGGGCTCTGGGAACCTTGGGAAACTGCCAGAGCTGTTTATGTTGGAGAAGTCACAGGGTGGATAAGAGAGGGAGAGAGTGACGTGTACAAATATCTAAAAGGCGGAAGTCTGTGGCCTTTTAACTTTGTGTTGCTCCAGGTGAGCAGGTATTAGGTTTGAGAAGAATACTTTCTCACACGTGATTGTAGCTGTTGGAATGGAACATGGACTATGGCTTGTCTTAGTAATAAACCCCTGACACTGAAAGCACGTAAGGAGAGACTGTATTGGCATCTGCCAGTGGAGCTGTGCAGGGAATTCTTGCATTTTGAGGGTGAGGGCCCATGTTTGTGTGCATATGAAATAGCCATAGCAGGATAATACAGCTGTCTCCTCTTAAAGATCCCAGTCGTGGTGGTTACACAGGTATATTGATTTGTCAAAACTCATGGAAATGTACAATGAAAATGGGATTATTTTATTGTATGTACATTACTCCACAATAAAGTTGATTTGTGTACCAGTTAACGCTTATAAACACTTAAGGCTGAAAAGAAGACAATGGATATTATATGTAAATGTGCCTTGAAGGAAATAGCATCGTGGCAGATGTTACTGGAAAAGCTATGAAAATGTATTTTATTAGGGAATAACAATTCTTTTGTGTAACAGGGAAACAAGCAATTATATTTTCGAAGGCTCTCAGAAATCTTGAATCACTTTAAGGGTCGATTAAAAAAATAACAATAAAATAGATATACATCACTCAGTGTTACCCCAAATGGTTTCTTCAAAAGCTTTGCTTCATTCTGGGCGTCCTAAGAGTTTGTTAGGTGGATGGAAAACTCGGAAGTGTTCTCTGGATCTTTCGGGGACTTATTATCAATGAACCCACTTGCTTTCAGAGCTGGTTCATTTCTGTAGGGAACTTTGTGAGATCAACTCTGAAGTAGCTTGTTTGGCTAGAGATTGATTTGTCAGTCTTTGACAAAACCAAAGTTGTTTAATTTTCCGGTTACCACCCTGGGCAGGTCAGTGAGAGCTCAGGATGGTCTGTGGTGCTAGGTTGAGAACCAATTAAATGGGGAAGGTGGTGGGGGAGGGGTGGCCAGGGGTGTGTCACTACTTCTAGTGAGATCTGTCACCTGCCCAATTGTATCCCATCAAAAGGTCAGGCCACGTTTGCCAGGAACATTCTCAGGTGGAATGATGCACAGGAGACAGTTTTAAGATAACACTTTATTCTGTATCCCTCCCCATTTTTTTTCTTTTTTTTTTTTTTCTTTTTTTTCACTTAAATGAGCTAAGAAAACAAACATACTCTGAGGTATGGGGAAACAGGAACTCTGATACCTGTGGGTGGGAATGTAAATTGGTGCAACTTTTATGGAGAGCCCTTGGTGATATCTGACAAATTACAAAGTAGATACCCTTGACCCAGAAATTTAACTTCTAGGAATGTATTCCACAAATCTACAGGCACATGTTAGTTGCAGCACT